CCCCCCCCCCCCTCCCCCTCCATTGCTGCTCGTCTTTTTTCTCTTTCTCTTCCAAAAAAAAATCATGTACATCCATTTCGTTTTAAGTGTGACTGGCATACCCTGACCCGAAACCAAAAACAGCCCTTCGTCGACGACGACCACCCTCTTCAGAACGTCTTCCCCCCTCGCACCTGGGCCATTCGCATCCCCGTCATCCTCATCCTTCTCGGCTGCGCCGTCGTCGGCTCCTTCTTGGGTGTCGTCATGATTCGCAGCAACGCCAAGGCTGCTGCTAAAGCTAAGGCTGCCCAGAAGAAGAAGGCATAGATCGGATTTGGATTCTCTCTTTCAGAACAAAAAACAGGCTCTCGAAATCATTAACCTCCTCCCCCCCAGAAAAAAACTAAAAATGAACAAAGGACGGTAAAAACGAAATATGAAAAAAAAGAAGCAAACGGGGTGTGTGTTGCTGGCTGTACCGAAACAAGGACAGACGATAAGCTGGACGGATGGATGGATGGATGATGGATGGATGGGAGGTGCAAGGTTGGAAATGAGGTCAGCTACTAAGAAACAACCAAAAAAATCAAAAATTCACGACAAACTTGCTCTTGCTGCCGTTGCCATGAGTCGTCTCAGCATGGATCATGGCAGATCCCTTGCATGCAATACTAGCAACTGACAATAGCACATGATGATGCCCTCGTTCTCATACCGAACGTCAGGTGCATCGTGAATATACGGTGCATAATGTCAGCGTCACCGTGGGTATCTAGAGTCATGCATTCAACTACAAGATAGTTCAGTCTGTCTGTGCTGGAGTATACCTCTCATTTATGAAGAAGAGAGTGAAATGGGAGTCCCAATACAAAAAGACGATTAAAAAAAAAAAGAGCAAAGAGCACTCGAATCTCTCAAAACTCCATCCAGTCAAAAGCAGAAGAAGAAGAAGAAGAAAAGGACGAAGAGCATTTGAAAGAATAGAGAATGGAGAGGGAGTAAACGAGTGAGTTCTAAAAAAAAAAAAAAAAAAAGGGTGAAAGCCAAGAGGTCGAGATTGCAGCCTCACACCCGCTGGTCAGCAAATTCGAGCAGCTCGCATTCGTCTTCGAAGAAGCCCTCTCCATCGCCGTCACTAGCACGACCACCTCGGCGCTTCCGCGTCGTCACAACAATCTGCGCGTGGTCTCCGTACTCCATGACGCGCTCCATTGCAGAGGGTGGCAACGCCTGGGGGTGTCCATCCATATCCTCGTACTGGTCATCCTGACTGAAGGACTGGCCAAGGTCCCAGGTGACGACCGGGATGGGCTGTCCGAAAGCCCAGGCGGACAAGCTATCTGTTGCTGCCGTCCTTCCCTCGCAAACTTCCGACGACGATGACTGTGCCTTCTTCTTGCTGTCCTTCTTCTTCTTACGGTTCCTCTCATTCAATACGGCACTGTCCTCGAGGCTCGCGTCTGCCAGGGCGCCCGAGAGGGACTCCATGGCGTCGGCACCCCGTCTGCCAGGTGCGTACTCGTTGAGAGTGACCCGGCGGTCGGTGTGGAATGGCTGGTACGCAGCGCTCGATTCTATCTCGGCCTGGGGGATGGCCGCATCGGCGCTGAGGTCCGGAGCTGGGCGCTTCCGCTGGCCGTAGCCGAGAGTCAGAGTATTGTCACCCGCCTCCATGTCGTGATCCGTGAGGTCGAGCACCTCGTCCTCAGCGCCCAAGTGGACGATCTGACGGATGGCCGGAGGCACGGCGTCGTCCGGCAGGCCCGGCACCTTGAAATCCTTGTACCGACGGGTCCTCGAGGGACGCTTGGACTGGGTAGACATCTGCCGCGCCTTAGCGGGGAAGACGCGTACGAGTCCATCGCCCATGGTGAAGAGGCTGTGGGACCGACGGCTTCTGACCCACGTCACGCACGAAGCTGCCGGCAGCGACGTCGTATTGGGCAGCGCCACGCGATTCTCGCCGGCGACGCGAAACTGGTTGAAGGCCGTGCCCGTCTTGCCGAGGGAGTTGCTGATGCCCGCGGCCAAGGCCCTCCCGCCTTGCGCGGCCGACTCCTTGAAGGCCTGGCCGGCGCTGGCGCCCATGGTAGACGGGACGTGGGCGCTGCTACGGCGGGCTCTGGAAACGAAGGGTTTGGCGGCCTGGTAGGCAGCGCTGAAGGCGTTGGTCGTGATGGTCACGGCCGAGGAGGACGATCCAGCATCGGCAGCCTCGGGGTTCTTCACCTCGGCAGGCTTGCGGCGGCGCGGAGCCGGCCACATGAAGGCGCTGGGAGGCATGTCGAGCACATGGACGGTGCCCCTTCCCGTCACCATGGCCAGACGCTCGCCGTGAGGCTCGGACCAGGCAACGTGGACGACACGCGCCACCGTCATGCGCGAGAACTGGGCAATCTGGCGGACCACGGGCCCGGACGTCTCAGCCGGGGCCATGGTCGCCTGGAGCGGCGAGGCCTTGGTGTGGTGGATGCGCAGCAGGTCCCACACGTTCTGCACGTCCCCCTTGCTGCTCGCCGTGAACAGCGCCAGCGAGGTGGGTGAGAAGGAGAGGAAGCTGCAGCCCTGAGGCGGGACAAAGCTGGTGATGGGGACGACCGAGGCCGACGCGGCCAAGGTCTCGGCGTCCACGATGGACACCAGGCCGGGGCTCCTGGGGTGCGGCCCACCGAGCGCGCCGTGCGTTGGCGGGAAGTGCGCCGTCGGGGGCGGGGAGCGAGGCTGCTGAGGCGGCGCCGCGGCCATCTGCTGCGGCTGCGGATTGGTCGACTTGTTCCAGTACGAATTCCAAGCCTGCTTACCCTGCTGGCCCATCCACTTGGCACCCCAAATGAGCTCCTGCGTGGTCCCACGCATGAACTTGTTGACGAAGCTATCGGCGATGAGGTCGACCGACGCCGCAGCGGCCGGCAGGTGAGGTGGCGACATGCTCAAGACGCCCGGAGCCCGTCCCGCAATGGGGGTGGCGACGCTGGCGCCCAGGGCCTTGTGAAGAGGGGGCGAGGGGCAGTAGGCAATCCAGCGGCCGTTGAGGGCGAAGATGGGTGCCGATGCGTTGGCGCCTCTAGACGCCGATGTTGAAGGGGCATAGCCGCCCAGTCCCTGCGTCCCCTCATCCGTGCCGGGCGCGTCGGCCTTGCGACTCTGCTGCAGGGCCGTCCACAACTTGCCAACGCACGCAAACATGTGTCCGTTCTGAGGCTCGAGGCGCTGCAGGAATACCCAGCACTCGCCGGTGGTGCCCGAGCAGACGACGAGGGTTCCAGAGTCGGCCTCGATGGTGAAGGCGCCCACGGGGGCCGGCGGCTGGAAGGCCGGGCTCGTCAGGGCAATGGCGGTGCTGATGGGAACCTCGGGCGCGGTGAGGAGCGTGTCGACGCGCTTGCCCGTCCTGAGGGAGTAGACCTGGACCGATGTCTGGTACGAGTCGACGGGCGGGCGGGCCTCGGGTTGGCCAAATGCCGAACGGGGACTGGCAGCGCCGGTACCCATGGCGGGGCTCTGTGCGGCGCTGTGGGCAGCCGGGGTGGGCGCATCCTGGGGCCGTAGGACGGGGCCATGCAGGACGACGGCAACGAGGGGGAAGACGTCACGCTGGGGGCCGGTGAGGGACCAGGGGAGTATCTTGGCATGCAGGACGGCTCCGTGCAGACCCTTGAGGCCACCGACGGGTTCGAGGCCTCTCTTGCTGACGGCGTACACGTCGAGTCCGCCCTGGTACCCAGCCGTGACGACGTGGTCGGCAGAGCCCGGACGGTCGGCCGAGGTGGAGGGCAAGCGGTCAAAGCCAAAGTGGTACCCGCGCTGCCCAGCCTTGATGCCGGACTGCGTGGCGACGGCCAGGTCGAGGTCTGGGGTACCGTAAAAGTGCGGCTGCGGCTGGTGGGGGAGGGGCGGCTGGTGATGAGCAGCGGAGCGAGTCTGGAGGGAGCTCCTCCTGTAGCCAGGACCGGCGGCGACGGTAGCGCCAAGAGAGGGCGGGGAGCGGGAGTGCGGCAGGGATGGCTCAGGGCTCTGACGATGATGGAGATGTTTCCGATGCTGCTGCCGAGCAGGATCCTCCATCGGGAAGCTCAGGGGTCGCTGGCTGTTGGCGGGGGGTGAGGCCGATGCCGGCGAGGGATTCATGAAGCCCCGGTGGGTGGCGGTGGTGGCCCAGGGGGGTTGGTGGCCGAGGCGACCCCCCGGTGCGTCCTCATAGGAGGACGGCTGTGTTGGCGGTGAGTCTCCCATGAGGCTGATGAGGTTCCCGGGGGAGCCGGCGAAAGGACCAGACCGAGGCCAGTCGGTTGTCAGACTTGGAGCGGTGCTCGCAGAGACAGATGCGTTGGATATAGCATCCAGCATGGGTGACGGGTGGAGGTTGTCATTGTCCGGCAGGGACGTGGGCCTAACGTCGGGCGTATCGATGGGAGGGGTAGACTCGCTCGAGATGGAGTGGCTCTTGCTGCTGCTGTGGTGAATGGGTCTATTACTTCCACTGCTGCTTCTGTTTTGTTTTTTGCATCGACGCAAGGTCAGCCTTCTGTCTCTCTCTCTCTCTCTCTCTCTCTCTCTCATAGTCACGGTGACTCGGTCACGGGGGAGGGGAAGGGGGGAGGGCAGGAGGGGCAGGCAGGTGTCGTAATCACCGTGACCCAAGAGAGGACCGAAACTCACGAGAAATTGGCGGAATCATTATCGGTCACCGCTGAAGCGATGGCATTATTTTCCTTGACATTCTTCCTCTGCTTCTCTGCAGGGAGGGGGGGGGGGGGGGGGAGGTAAGAGGGTATTGTCAGTCGGTTGACGGGAAGGAGGGTGGAAGCGCGTATCGCGCGCGCTAGAGATGGGGGAGAGGGAACCAAGCGGTTCTTGGTGACGACAGTGCGACGGAGAAGGAAAGGGGGAGGGGAGGGACGTACTAGGCATTCAAATGGTATTGGCTGGACAAGGAAGACGGAGAGCGGTCGACTGCCCCCGAGGAAACAGAATTGAAGCCGCAGAACGGCAGGATGGTATATAATTGCTGTTTTCTCTCGCGGATGACGCAAGAGAAGGTGGGAGGGAAAGAGAGGGAGGGAGGGAAGGAGAGGAGGCGATGTGTGAGAGTATTAAGTACTGAGTGACTCCTACCGAGGGCAGGGACGTGAAGCAACTACACGTCAACTCCCGATAAGCAGCCGCCGTAACGCACGGATGAGTCGAGCAGATATGTTTATATATATGTATATATGGAGAGAATGCAGATTATGTGGCCTCCTAAGAGATATCAGAAGAGATGATTTATGCAAGACGATGAAGAAAGAAAGAAAAAAGAGTTGATGATGATGCCGTTATTGTTGTCGTTGTTGTTATTGACAAGGGGAAACTCGAGGGGGGGGGGGGGGGGGGGGAGGGGAGGTAAGAGGGTATTGTCAGTCGGTTGACGGGAAGGAGGGTGGAAGCGCGTATCGCGCGCGCTAGAGATGGGGGAGAGGGAACCAAGCGGTTCTTGGTGACGACAGTGCGACGGAGAAGGAAAGGGGGAGGGGAGGGACGTACTAGGCATTCAAATGGTATTGGCTGGACAAGGAAGACGGAGAGCGGTCGACTGCCCCCGAGGAAACAGAATTGAAGCCGCAGAACGGCAGGATGGTATATAATTGCTGTTTTCTCTCGCGGATGACGCAAGAGAAGGTGGGAGGGAAAGAGAGGGAGGGAGGGAAGGAGAGGAGGCGATGTGTGAGAGTATTAAGTACTGAGTGACTCCTACCGAGGGCAGGGACGTGAAGCAACTACACGTCAACTCCCGATAAGCAGCCGCCGTAACGCACGGATGAGTCGAGCAGATATGTTTATATATATGTATATATGGAGAGAATGCAGATTATGTGGCCTCCTAAGAGATATCAGAAGAGATGATTTATGCAAGACGATGAAGAAAGAAAGAAAAAAGAGTTGATGATGATGCCGTTATTGTTGTCGTTGTTGTTATTGACAAGGGGAAACTCGAGGGGGGGGGGGAGGGAGAGGACATGGGAATAGGAGGGGGAGGGGGACCGAGACTCTGAGAGAGAGAGAGAGGAGAGGTAAGGCCTTCTACAACGACAAATTGCATATCTGACGCCTACTACGTGCTCTATCAGTGTACACCTACTGAGTAATAATATATGATTGCTCGTACGTATACATACATCTGTTCTTGTCAATGCTAGCTGCTACTGGTACTTGGTACTCGGAGGACGCGGGATGGCTTGCTGCTGCCCGTACCTTGAGGTGCGTTGCTCTCCTCTCCCTGCCCCCCCCCCCCCCCCCCCCGCTGCCCCGTCTCTCTCTCACAAACACACACTCTCTGCTCCCTCTCTTCCCCCTCATCCCCCGATGCCGTCAGGACCTGCAGCAGGGCGTCAAGATGTCCCAGCCGTCAGCCTGTATCCAAGTACCTTTTCTGCGTGTGCGCTCCTCTCACCCCCGAAACAGTCATCCGCCGCTTTCCTCTCCCTCCCGGACGGCGCGGGGCACACGCAGCAGGTAACAATAGCAGGCAGAGACACTGAGAAGGAGGGGAGGGGCTGTTCCTATTTAGGCGGGGGAGCGTGTGGTGGCTGAATTCGGTTGGGCGGGTCAGGGGAGGGGGAGGTCGGATAGGGGTGGTCTAAGCTGCGCCATCCTACCTTGTGATGACATGGACCGTAATACTGCTCGAACTGAGTGACGTAGTAGTAGTAATCTGTATGGTTTCCGTAAAAGGAGCTGTACCGTATCTCTCTCCGTAACATACCGTAGCACCGTTGACTCTGAGACCCGATGCCTGCGTCGTACGGGAAGTACTCTCTCTCCTCACTCTCCCCCTCTCTTCTGATATATTACTCGTACGTCGACCATTCTATCATGTACAGTAATGATCGTTATTACCATCTACCATTGCTAGCGTTAGCATACAGAACGATCAGAAATCCGTGCTGATGACCCTCTTCATTTCCGACCATTCATCCCGTGCAGGTGCAGAGGTCTAGACGCTGTACCGGTCACTAGCATTTCAGATCTAGTCACCAGCTGCGGCGGCCACCTGTACAAGGCTACTCCTACTTCATCAGCTCCTTCATCATCATGCCCCCCTCGTGACCCTCTCCAACAAAGGCGTCATGTGAATGAATCCTTTTGTCATCTTATGATTTTTCATTTGGGTCAAAGCGTCTCTCACTCTTGTTCGGGTTCCGATGCTCATAAACGTCTCACCCCTCCCCACCCCCCTCCCCCCTACCCTTATCCTTATTATATAATTATAGTCAATTTTATCGTACCGTTATGCCTCGGTCAAACGCGTGATACCCAACCTTTGTCCCATCTCTGACTCTCCATTCTCCATGTGTCCTCTTTTGTTCCTTTCTATTCTGGCTGGGTTCAGCCTAGCATTAACCGCGTAATCAGCTAGACACACCATGATAATCAATCATGCACACATCATCACTACGAGTACTCCGTATTAGTATTATGCCTACAGCAATCTTGGACCCAAGTCAATAGCAGTAAACAACATTCTCCAGACCAAACATGCCTACAGGCATCGCTGCTCCGTATCAGTACTGCAATAAATCATGCCTACGACAGTGTCTGACGAATCGAGCAGATTCCCGGTGCAAGATCATGACAGTACTCGGTAGTGGATATCAGTCAACACATTCATGTCTCGATGAATCAGAGAAATCAGAGTAGAAAGTGATAGGAGAAGAAGAAGGACTGCATACCACCTAGACGCGTACGCCATGGCTATCAGAACAGAAAAAAAAGAGAGTATAGAGAATACAAAAGAAGAAAAAAAGAAAATAGAAACTCCTGCTTTCCCTTGGCTTCTTAAAGAAAATGGTGGGGAAAAAAAACCTCCATACACAAGTTATCAGATTCGCCCCATCCTCCATACCCCCCCCTAGCCCTTGAAACTCCTTGAGAAAGGTGAAAATAAACAGAAAGAGAGAGAGAGAGAAAGAAAAAACACAGACAGATACACGCACACACAATAGAGATAGACGACCTACTTCCGTATCCCCCGAGCATTTACCTCTCCTTTTCCCCCTATATTAAGAGCCTTTCGACAGTCCGGACAATACCATTTCGTCGTCCGCGCTGGGATGTCATCTAGCTCGACACATTCGAGGTGGAACCATTCGAGCTTACACTATCGGGGGAGGGGAGTGTCAGCTCTCTCTCTTCTCTCTCTGTTTTCTTCTGTTTTCCTTTTTTTTTCCGGACAGCAACAGGGGAAAGGTTGAGAAGGGAAAGGGGTGGGAAGGCAAGGGAGAGGAAAGAGAAGGAGAGGAGAAAAAGAGGGGAGGATATACATACCTCAACATTATCACAAGAAATCATTGTCCCGTAACTGACCCGATTACAGAGACAGTACCGCTCCTCATCAGGATCAATCGGGTTCCCCTCATCATCCACATCCTCCAACTCCTCAACATCTTCACCCCTGTCCTGGGCAGCCTGCTGCTGCTGCTGATGCTGCTGCTGATTATGATGGGTCTTGCCCCCTTTCCGTCCCCCACCGAACCGAGCCTTCCGCTTGGGAGCAGCCTTCCTCTTGCCCACCGCCGCGCTGCCGCCGCTGCTGGTGGTACTAACGATCCCGGGAGCTGGCCGCGTAGAGCGTCGACTAGGTGGGGGCGCTGCCGCTGCCGCCGCCGCCGCCGCCGCCGCCGCCACCGCTGATCCTGCAGGCCCTGCAGTGTCGGGGGGAGCAGGCGTGTTGCGCGCCGTGCTCGCCCTCCTGGGCCGATCTGCTGCTGCCGAGGGCGTGACAAGCAGTCCCGTCGACGGGGAGGAGGAGCCGGGCTTCTGCGGTTCCTGGCTGAGAGCCTTGGTTCCCGATCCTCGCGATGAGCTGGGTCGTCGGGAACCGACATCGGAGGAGGTTGCGGGACCTCGTGATGAGTGTCGGAGCTCACGCTGCTGCTGCTGCTGCTGCTGCGGAGCCGTAGTGATGGTCGTACTCGCTTCCTCGGTAGGGACGCCGGCCGGGACTGTGCGTTTAGCTGCCTCTCCGCGCGTCTCGCGCTTAGGCGGTGGGAGAGGAGCGGAGGGTGCAGGCGTAGGCGTGGGGGTGGTCGTCGCGGCCACGGCGGGTGTGGTCGACTTGCGCCTGTCGGATCTGGGCAGCGGGACGGGCGTCTCCGTCATGGGCGGCTTGGTGGGCACGCATGCCGTGGTTGAGCCGGCGTTACCGGGGTTCCCTGCGCTTCCGGGCGTCGGCGACTTGGCGCCCGCCCTCGTCACGCTGGCCGATCTCTGCACTGTCATCGGGAGAGGGACCGGGGTCTCGACGGGAGTAGACGTCGCCGTCCCTGTCGGTGCAGCAGGAGGGGGGGCGGCGGGGGGGGCGGCGGCGGCGGGGAGGCCACCGCTACTGCTCTGACTGCCGGCCATGCCGCCGCCGCCGCCCAGCTGGGGGGGCGGCACGGGCGTCTCCGTCTTCGTGCGTTTGATCTGAGGTCTCGCCGAGGGCGTGTTGTCGGCGGCATCGTTCGCGGCAGCGGGGACGTCGACATCCGCGTCCGCCCTCTTGCGTTTCTGGGCGTTCGGCCTCCTGCCGGGGGGCCTTCCGGGGCCCCTGGAGCCGCCGCCGCCATCCCTGTGCTGGCTGTCCGAGGGACTGGTGTTGGACGAGGTGCCGCTGCCGCTGCCGCCGCCGCCCAGGAAGAGCTTGGCCGCGGCAGCCATCTTCCTAGCTGACTCCTCGGCCTCCTCGGCGGCCAGCTTGGCCAGGGCCTCCCTCTTCATCTTCTTGGCCTCGTTGAGCTTCATGCCCCGATTGCTCATGGGCATCATCTCCTCCGCCGTGGCCGAGTCGGCGCTGATAGCGCCGGCGGGCAGGTGGCGCAGGCCCGTGGCGTCCTCGGTGATGGCGGCCGGCGTGACGGGCTCAAACGTCTTGCCCTCGTCCTCGGCCTGCTTCTTGGCCGACCTGTAGTCTTCCGGTCCCCGGCCCAGCACACGAAGCTCGCGCGCCACCATGGTCTCACTAGGCGTCCACGTGGCGTTCTTCTTCATCCGCTTGCGCAGCTTGGCCAGCTCATACTCGGTCAGCTGGAGCCAGGGCGCGTCCGGGCTGCCTACCACGGCATTGTCCGGCGGGGGCCGCAGAAGCGCCGCAGCGTGCGCGGCGATCTCCTCGCTCGTTGGGCCGGGCGTCTGGGGCGCCGGCGGTCGCGGCGGCCGCCCCACTGACTTGGGCGGTCTACCGGGTGTGACTGCACCGGCAGGTCTGGGGCGCGGTGTCGTCGCCGTTACCGCTGCTGCTGCTGCTGCTTCGGCTGCTGCTGCTGCTGCTGCCGCAGAGGTCTTGCGACCGACGGGGGCCACCTCATAATCGTCTTCAGAGCTGTCATCGCTCCCGCCGCTAAAGGTGTCGTACTCGATATCGTAGGGCGCCAGGACCTCACCGGGCACCGTAATCTTGGGTATCTTGGGCTGCTTCCTCTGGTGAGGAGCGGGTGCAGGTGCAGGTGCAGGTGCAGGTGCAGGTGCAGGCGCAGGTGCCGGCGTAGGTGCAGGTGCAGCTGTGTCGTCTTCGTCGTCATCGTCACCGTTCTCTCGGGGTGCCTCGTCGGCCTCCGCCGCCGCCGTCACAGGACTCCTACGCAGCGGAGGCTGCTGCTGTCTGAGCTGCTGCTCTTGGGCAGGGTAATTGTCCATCATGGCTCGTAGCTTGGACAGGAGCACCTTGGCCTTGAGGTAGTGCCTGCCGACATTGTCCGACATGCGGACGGCCTCCGCGTGCGCAAAGACGCGCGAGTTGACCAACCTGCCCAGCTGCTCCGATATGTCCGCGCGCAGCTTAGCGGGCACCGGCCTCGTCCTGCCCTCACCCTCGGCGGTGGCGGGCAGGTTGGGCAGCTGGCCCCACTGCGCCGCGAGCTGGTGCACGCGCGCCGACGCGTCCGCGTACTTCTCGTCCAGGTTGCCGATGAGGGTCAGTGATCGAACCACATCCGAGGGTAGGTATTCGGTAAAGTCGAGGAAGTCGGTCACCGTGGTCTGGGCATCTGCTTCGATGCGATCGTCGCTGTCGTCGTCGTCTCTGTCGTGGTCCACCAGGAAGCTGCCGGCGCCGCCACCGGCGGCTAGCGAAGTCCGAGGGCTTACGATCTCCATCCTTGGCGCATCCTCCATATCCATATCTTCATCACCCGGCATGTTTTTCTTTCTTTTTTGGGGGGGGTGGTGGGGGAGATAGGTATAGGCTGCCTGCTAGGAAGGGGAGGGAGAGAATCGTGGTAAGATACGGGTGCTTGGGCGCGTGCGCTACAGATTATCTTTCGAGCAACGATTAGGCCCGGCGTTCGTTTGTCGCCCTGCCATCGATAGGCCTCGTATGCGTGGTGAAGATGGATGAGAACAGCGGAGATGAGATATGGGGCACTCGCGCAGCTTTTTCTTGGTCGATCTGAACCTTTAAAGTGGTTGATGGGGGGGGGGGGGGGGTAAACGTCGCGTCAACAGTCACTCTTGCTTCCCTAGGCTACGGGTTTCGCCAAGCGGCGGACGTGTGCTGACGCCACAGTTATATGAATGGGGCTGGTGGGCTTGGTGTTGTGGCTGGTGCAGTGTGCGGTGTCCTGTCCTGCATGCTCTGTAACTCTCTCTTGGATCTGCAGTAGATGCTATATATTACTCCGTTATCTGCGTGTTGGGTTGTTTTGAGGTAGGGAAGCAACTGATTGCCGATTATATGCAGATTCACACGGGATTTACTGGCTCGTCATTACGGATTGATCTAATATGGTAAAGAGCACACGATCCAGACCTCCAGCATATAATTTAATATCCACAACGCCAGCAGTACTAGAGTAAGAAAGACTCGAGGCATCCTCGGTCATGTACGTGAGAGACCCAGGCTGCTCCCCTCTCTGCGCCATTACCGATATCATTGCTTGCTTGATTATTACCGACGGCGCTTGCTTGCATCGTCTGACTACTAGTGTTACCGTCCGCTTCCTCTCCTCTCCGTCGTCGCTCTCGGGTGTCCTTTCGATGAATCCTGTCTGGTCTCGTCCCTTCTTCCCATTTCGGTCGGTATAGGCGAGCAAAGGCTTGCTGGCGGATGGCAGAAATCGGAGAAGAGAAAGGCAGAGAGCGATGTTGGGTATCGTCACAGGACAGAGTTGTCGTTGTGTGCTCCTCCACCACCCCTCTTCTCGTCTAACCCCCGCCGAGTCTCCCTGATGACTCGCTTCTTGCTAGATGTTTCGAGCGTCGTGCATTCATCGGCGTCTCTGCAATGCTCGTGCTCCATCCCCTCCTCGTTTGGCCCCCCAGCAAAGGTAGACGGACAGGACGGACGGGATGGATGGTCCCGTCTGGTCTGTGCGTATGAGTCACACAATATGACCTGGTCGTCCCGCCCATTCATGATCGAAGTCGTCATCTCTTTTGCCTCTTGTTCGTCTGTCTGTATATACGCCATGTCGGTATATGCATGCATGTCCCCACGGAGTGGTGAGATCGCCATCCGAGAGTGCGAGGGGCAGGCTTCACCAGTCCCAGTCTGCCTCTTGATCTCGTCGGAGTTTGGCGCCCATGATCTCTTCCGATTCCTCGACAGTGTAGCTCGACTCAGCCCCGATGAGGGTCAAGGATCCGTAGACGAGAAGACGTCGGCATTTACTTCGACGCGGGGCATGTCAGATGTTGGGAGGAGTAGGGGGGGATCGGGCTCGGTTGGTAGACACTCACAGGTAGCCATTCACGATCAGGTTGCCGTATATCTCAAGGTCAGTGCCTTGCAGGGATCCGACAAGTCTCAGCTTGCCAAAGCCTTTGATGCCATTGCTTGTTGTTGCCGTCGTCGTCGTCAGGGTCGGGATGGATGATGTGATGAGGGGGCGTCTCTATCTTACCTTGCTGTCAAGGAACCGTTGACCTCGATATTCCCATATGCCTTGATCCTACCTCTGTCAAGGGGAAGAGAGAAAGGAGGAGGGAGAGAGGTCAGCACATCAAGGCTTCCGTATCTCTACCGGGGGTTCAGATACGCACTGGGTGCTGACGTTTCCATTCACGGTGATGGCCCCATAGGCGTCAATCTTTCGACGGATGATCAGATCCCCCAGCAGGGCGATGCTGCCGCCTGACTTGACCGAGCCCCTCACCTCGAGCGGGCCGCGTAGCTCGATACCGACGTCGCTCTTTATGCTCGGCTCCGTCCGAAAGCTCTGGTGCTGGTACACAGTCTCGGCGACGGGCATGTCGAGACCGGCGACACTCTCGGCGGGTAGAGGATGTTGGTCCTCGACATCATTGTCTTGGTCGCCAGTGTCAAGGTACTGCTGCTGCCGCTGATAACGGTCGACAGCGTCGTTGGGATCCAGCCCATACCCATACGTCTCCATATCCGGCGAAAGGGTGGGGGAGGGGAGGGCGTGACGAGGAGTGCAATCCTAGAAAATCTCTCTCCCTCTCCCTCTCTCCTTCTCTCTCTCTCTCTCTCTCTC